TATATATATATATATATATATATATAAATCATAATAATAATAATAACTGTTAAAATAAAAATAATTAAGTGTTTAAAGTTCTTACCGTTTCAAAAAGAGAAATAAAGGATTTATTCACGAGGGTTTTTTTGCTGCTTTGATTTTTTGAGTTCAGCAGCGTCAGATAAATGCTGTTCGTTGTCTCAGCACAAATCTGTCTACCAGTAGATACAGAAACCTTGTAGGTTAACATTGTGTCTGCATGGAAGATTGTACAATCTCTGGATCCTCAGTTTTATTCCTAAGCAAATTTATAAGAAGCTCATATCCGGCTCAACTATCATTTGCTCCGCCTCCTTTGTCATAATGTGGGTGTGGTCAATTCTACCTAGACTTACAAGAAAAACACAACATTGGGCAACACTGTACAGCCCCTCACGGACGACTGTCACTTTTACTTTCGTGTTGCGTTTGTTTATTTGATTATTAAAGTGTTATGTTTAAATGTTCTCCGGTTCCCGCCTCCTTCTTCCGCAATCTACGAACTTTGTTACATTGGTGCCGAAACCCGGGAATGAAGAAGAAAGCCACCGCCGTCATGCAGGTTCCAGGTTCGCCATTTGCGGAGGTCATACAATCGCTCGCGGGGCTTCACCTGGATCACCAGCACATGACCAGCATAAACCAGCAAAGGACCAGCATAAACCAGCAAAAGGACCAGCTTAAACTAGCAAAAGACCAGCTTAAACCAGCAAAGGACCAGCATGCAAAAGGACCAGCTTAAACCAGCAAAGGACCAGCATAAACCAGCAAAGGACCAGCTTAAACCAGCATCCCAGCGTCAAAACCTACCTAACAAGCATATGCTGTTTTTTTCCACAGGGTGTTGAGAACCAATTTGAAATTCATTGTATATATCATCCACAAAGTGGATGAAGAGTGAGAATGAATGTGCATGACAGAAAATGGGAATGACATGAGTTCAAGATGAAAATATGAAAGCCCAAAAAGAGCCAGGACAGCCCTCAACTCACATTAACTTCTCACAGGTCACATCAAAAGGACAACTGGCCAGATAAGCAGATGAGTTATTACATATTGTTGACTAACGAAAACACGTAAGGTCTCCATTCACAGGTGACAGCAGCTCTATCAATGGCAAGGAATTGTTCACTCCACCATTAAGGACCAGCAAATGTGCTGTTGTGATCAATGATCAGCAAAATGGATGGAGATTATAACATCTGAGTCCAAGCCTCAACTTGAATTACACCAACCATCCTCAGCCCATTGCAACAGCTCGCAAAGAGTCACCCAGGTAAAGATGAAAAGTCCATGGAGCTAATGAGAATATCATGTAGATCATCGTTTTGAAAGGACAAAAAGTCTGGAAATTTTAGAAATTGGTTTAAGTTCATCATTCTACAATATGCTGGTGTCAGGATCAAAGGACTCTTCAAACTATAAGTTGGAAGCCTGGAGATCGGATCTTAAGCAGGATATTCAGATGGAGGACTGGATAGAAGCATGCAGGGAAGCTCAATCACAAACAATGAACACACGTCGGAAACGGCAACGATATATGTGGTTAATGCGGATTTACGTAACTCCAGTTATATTGCAGAAATATAATGAAAATATCCCTGACACTTGCTTAAGATGCTTGCTTAAGGTACGCTATATCATTGTATTTGGGAGTGTGAAGAAGTCATGATAGAGAATATCCTTGGTGTATACATTCCACTGTCACCTTTACTCTGTTTATTTCATTTATATCCTAAGAAGATCAAGTTAAAAAAGACAGAATATATTGTTTCTTTAAATTGGAAAAGGATATGTGCACCAAATATAGGACGTTGGCTGAAAGAAATGGTAACAAATAAGCCAATGGAAAAAATAACTTGTATATTAAGAGATAAATATAAAATTTTTGATGGAGTTTGGGGACCTTTCAGATTGTTCTTAAAATGTGGTGGAGTTGGAAATGTGTCGATAGAAGAATAGGTGATACTGTATATTAATGTAAAATACTGAGAAGTTTTTCTCTTTTTTTGGAGATGTTTTTTTGTTGTTGTTCTTGATCTGTCTATTACATTCACATGTGTACGGTTAAAATGCAATTAAAAAGATTGTAAAAATTGAATTGAAAAGAATTGATGATTGTGTAAGAGAAACTCTCAGAGGAGGGAATTGCGAAGGAAACTTTCAAATTAATCATAAAATCAGTACTTCAATACTTTCTGTTTTAGCAGGCCTAACATTTTAAGTACGTTTTAGGGAACGGAAATGTTCTAAGCTTGAGTAGTGTTGCAATAATGAAACATTGACAAGACGAGACTGCTAGACATCTGACTGAAAATACTTATTACTAGACGATCACATGATTTGAGGAGCAAGATGAAGTAATCAGTAGCAGAGGGGGGTTCCTGATTTGTCACATAAGTGAACCAATCATATTAAAGGGGTGATGCGATTTCAATTGTTCCTTTCTCTTTGGAGTGTTACAAGCTCTTGGTGCATAAAGAAGATCTGTAAAGTTGCAAACACTAAAGTCTCAAATCCAAAGAGATATTCTTTATAAAAGATCAGAGTCAGCCACACCCCCC